TCTCTTAATAAGCTTTTAATGCTCATGATTTTAAGTTATATATTCCTTGATCAAATTCACTGTCGCAATTCTTGTTTATCATTTGCTTACTGTTTTTTTCACCTTTTTCTTTTTTCATTTCATTTCATCATTTCATTTCATTTCATGATTTCTAGCATCAAATAAAACTCCTTAGCTTTGGGAACATGCATGCTGCCTTCAAAGAAGACTTTTTAAAGCAAACCTAAGACAAAAACCCTCAAAAAATAATATAGCCACTGAATCATATTTTTTGTACCATCGCCATATGTGATGTGTGAGTAGATGATAATTCCCTTGAATATACTGTATTTGCAATTTGAAATGACTTGATGAAAATTATCTGAGTAATTCTTGATCTAATACCTTTAGTGTTTTAAAGAATTAACTGATACTGAAAATATGAATAGTTGTGATCAGTTTAGATGAAGTTCAAAAAAAGCCTGCACAGAACTCAAGTTCAAAGTTTTTCTTCTTAATTAACATTCAATATTAACTCTAAAAGTACTCACTTTGAGAGGCACGTTAGCAAATACCTATGATAAAATATTTACCGACGATATAGGATATGCTAACTAGAACAAGAAATCCATTAAAAAAGCCCACACCGGCCATCCATGTCTGCTATGTACAGATAGACACCTTTCATTTACTGTTTGCCTTTGTACACCTGCATGAGAAGCAGAATACAGATGATGGTTCCCAGTCCTGAAGAGCCCATATACCAAGCAGGCATAGGCCAAATATCCCCACCTCCTAGAAGGAAGAATTCCCTACATTCTCACGACTGCTCCCAGGAAGATACAGAGTAAACTGAAAACCCAAAAATGTATTTTCAGGTCAGTTTAGGGTATCAGACATTCCTAGGCATAGATCAGAAGGCTGTTGAGCCTGACACAGTGCCAGACCGGGAGGAATCTCAAAGGTGGATGGAGGCACAAAGGGACATGGATATCAGCGTTAACTTTTGCACCAGAATCATTCTGTTCAGAAATATCTAAACAGATTTCAGAGACACAGAGGACACAGAAGAGTCAGGTACCTAAACTTAGATTGTAAACAGTTAGATGAATTCAGGTTTGCCTTGATACCAGGCAGCCAGGCCAAAGCAATATCCAAACAAAAGTCATTGCCAGCCTTTGCAATGACTCATCGCTAAATTCTGCCCCAGAAGAAAAACAGTAGTCCTGCTCTTTTTCCTCCTGTACCTGGCAGTGGCAGTGCCTATTGTTCTTAGAGAACAAGAATTAATTAGCTAGTATTAAGGGAACAGTTTTGAAGATAAGAGATATGCATCAGTGACCTGATTCAGCCTGGTGTTCAGCCTGGAGAAGAGAAGGCTGATGGGGGACCTGATCAGTGTCTGTAAATACCTCAAGGGAGGCAGTGAGGAGGAGGGGGCGGCCTCTTTTCAGTGGTGGGGCTAGAGGAAATCTGTACAACAACATGGATAAATGTTGCAAAAGAGAGTACTGCTGTTTCATTACCGGAATATAGATCTTTACTGACATGAGAAGGATTTTCTGGGGATGCGTACATTTTGAATGGTAAAATACATACAGGGATCATTTCCCTTTTCCTACTTCATCATTATACATATTAACTTTTTGCTTGTACCTATATCTTCTATTCAACTAAGAACTTTCCTATTGTTTCCCATTTATGTTCTCACATAGCATGAACTACCTTATAAGAAAAATGCTTACATATTTTATTTCATGTCAATTACTACCTAGCAAATGCTACAAGTGAGATTTTTCTCTTCTCACTACAAAACTGACATTGAGTCAAATCTAAGTGTCCACATTGTGGAGTGCTTGAAATCATGTCCCAAAACACCCACACTTCCCATAGTGCAGGGCTCCCCTTGTCCAGTCAGCACTCAATTAACATAGCAGCAGACCCTGCCCCATTCCCAGGCTCTCCCAGCTAGGGTACGTAGGTGCCAGGACCCTTGCCACCATCACTATCAGGTGCCACCATGAGCACCAGCTGCAGAATCAGCCCAAACAACAGCTCACCTCCCCTGGAGAACATGAGTTCCCGGCAGGAGAGCAGCAGCACACAGAGATGCTGAGGGCCAAGCCCATGCAGCTGAGAACTTGCCTCCAGCTCACATGGCCACAGGCCCTGGCAGTGACATTGAGCAGCTGACATGAGCAGGAGACAGGAGCATATGAGTATCCTCATCCAACCTAGTATCCGCAGCCAACCTAGTTCCCTCAGCAACCCAGAGTGGGCAGGACTATCACAGGATGGCCTCACCAAGGCTGCCAGAAACCCTGAGAAGGCAGCAGAGAGATCCTGGCTTCTGGTCAAATTCCCGACAGCAACATAGATACCCATATACTCCTGTTACTCTGCCAGACAGGGCTAAACAAGTAGCAAGCAGGACTGTTTATACTCATGATGGACGTTCCTTGTTTGGCCCCAAGGCAAGGATATCTCCCTGCATCCCTTCCCACCACATAGCTCAGCAATACACCAGAGCCAGACTTGGTGTGCTGCTAGTGCACACAGAAGTCCAGACACATGCACACACACACTCTGATAAAGAAGTTACCTGACACTGTCCCACAACCTTTCCAGGATTTATAAACAAATGTCCATCCCTCTGATCTCTGTTCCATAAACTACAGTGAGCTCTGGTCAGTTTGTCACCATCTTTCTTGCTTTGGCATAGTGGAAATATGGAAGTCACTCCCTGCATTTTCAGTGAAAATCGTAAAGAAACGTTTATTAAATAACAGAACTTAAACATTTCCAATACAAGTTACAAAACAGATAGTTTTATTAGGAACAAAATCATTTTGCAGAGAAAAAATACACACATACAAGATGAGAATATCTGGGCATGAACATGTACAATCTAAGTACAGGATGTACAAATATTCTCCTGACCCCAGAGCAAGAGCAGTCTCCACATAGCTGCCATACAGGCACTTCATGGGAAAAGGAAGACCAACATGATTTATCTGCTTCCTAAAGATGATTCAAGTGTTAGATTTCCATCTTAAACCCATCCCAGATACGGATTACACTAGTGACAGCGCTATCATACCTAGCATACCTAGGCCAGGGTTTGCTTACAGCCCTCCCAGGCCAACAGCAGCATGATGGCACAAGGACAGGATGCACCCAGGATGCAGCAGCCCAGGAGGGCAGATTTGGTCCGGCTCTGACACCTCATCCCACTTGCCATGTCTGAAATACATCTTTTCCAGTGCCACTATTCAGGCTATTTGGGCCCCACAGTTAAGCATCTGCTGCAATTGGCTGTCCCCTGCCTGTGCTTGCCAAAAAGTGCAGGAGACACACACAGCCAAATCTGACTACATCTCCCAGTTTCTATTGCTCTGGCCTCCAGCTGCTCAGTGCTACTTTTGCAAAGCAAAGGCATTTGCAGTTTCACTCTCTAGGCAGTGCCCTCCCAAGCACCCAGCATCACATTTTTGTCATTTAGCTCATGGCCTTTGAGGAATGTTTGTACTGAAAGAAGACAGCACAGCACCACGAGAAAAAGAATTATCCTCTTCTTGCTGCTGAAAATCTGATTACTACAGCATCCCTAGAAAGCACAGATAGACTGAATCACCACGAGCATAGCACACAAAAACCAAAAATCTGTAAAACAAAATCTTAGAATAAAGAAACCACAACAAACACGGTTTATAGCACGGTATAACCAATACAAAGCTTTCCCATTAACAGATATATAAAAGACTTTCACATAAGCATGTAGGTGTCCAGCCAGCTCCCCCATGAGGAGAGAGAAAGTGTTTGGCAGACTTTTGCTTTTTTCTTTGCTGGGATACTTGCAGACCTAGCTGGGCAGTATTTACAAAGGAAATCTTAAATCTGTTTCTAATGGATTCAGGATACAACATCAACATGATGAGAAAAACTGACAAAAACATGGGAAGGAGAAATGCAACTCACATATATCCATGCATTTTAGTTTTGATCTGTATCACCTGCTTTTGTTCAACCATGTCTTTCTAGCCCAAAGCTGGCATATAGTTTAACACTCACATGACTTGCTTCTTGTTACCAAAATACTCTTAAATGGTAAAATCTGTGTTCTGACAGTGTGTTCTACAGCCCATGGCAACCTGGCCAGCAATTCAGCTACTCATTGTCAAGGATCTGGTCCTTGTGCTCTCCTTACAGGTCTGCTCCACCTGCACCTCTCCTCAATTCCTCCTAAGCAGAACAGGATGCACAAAGCAGCAGGATTTTAGAGATTCTATGAATTGCTATGTCTGTAGACATTAAAAAACTACATACACAAGCAGTTGGCCACCTCAAACAGCGTACAATAGCTAAACTATTACATTAAAGGCACTGGTGCTCTAAGGCTTACACTGACGAATGATCTCAGTATAATATTCCATGTTCCTGCTGAAAAATCACACACTCAAGCCCTCAGGAACTCTTCCGCTGAAGACCAGCCAGCCAGGGATTCAGCTGTTTCAACTCACTCACCCAGGCAGGCAACCTGTGGTGAAGGGTAACCAGCAGCCCACCATCATCATAGCACAGCAAAACATAAACAAACCCACATCATCTTTTGTGCTTTTTGTGCAAAGTCACACTCTGTATCGTGTTTCCTAGCCTCATGGTAAACAGCAGATGCCTAAGCACAGAGGAGTTTGGAGCTCAGAGGAGGGATTCAGAGAAGCCTAGGACACTCAGCTGAAACCTCTGCTAAGCTCTTTGCAGAGCCTGTGAAATATGTCTGGACATCTTCAAAGGAAACAAGATTTCTCAGGAAATTACTGGAAGATCCTTGTTTTGGTCTAGGACTGGCATGCTGCTTCAATCTGCCCATCATGCCTGCCCCTTTCAGCAGCTGCAGGCTGGCAAAGTCATAGAAGGGCATGAGCTGGGCAAGGAGCAGGAAGAATCACCGATCTTATTTCAGGCTGTCTTCTAGGGCTCCACTGTTCAAGTGCAGATCTATTACAGGACAAAGCATAAAGGAGCTGCCAGTTTTGTTTGTTGGTGAACTTGTCAGCTCACAGCAGCGCAGCCTTGAAGCTACACACTTTGTATTATCATTAAGATAGCAGGCTTGATGCCTTAGGGCTTTCCTGCAGTGTAATTTTTCAGATCAGTTCTTACACAAAATGAGATTATGAGATGCAAAGGATGGGTGCCATAGGCTTCAGGACAGGATGGGACAGCATGTCAGCTTAGGCATCAGTTGGATCTGGGAAACAATCTGATGCATTTCCTTGGTTTTCAACATCAACTATGACCTCTGGGTCTGGTATTTCCTCAGGCTCAGTCTCCACTGGGAAATTTTCTTCTGCCAATGGCTGAGGCTCAAGACTTTGACTAGTCTGGGCAGCATCTGGAAAATAAGAGAGAAATGGTTTATAAATGCATGCATTCATGCCCATCTCCATGGAAATCTTCCCACCCTTGTTTTCCTTAAAGCTACAAGGCACCTAACAATCCTAGAGCCAGCTCCCCAGGCTCCTACAGCCTGTGCCAGCACCTCTTGCCAGAAACTTGTGTGCTGCCTGATTCCACATACCAAGTGCCCATCCCGCTCAACTGCCTGTTCACCAAAAATCACCCAAGCTTTGTCTTCAGTCTCATTTACTCCCACATTTCTCCAATCTGCTCCTTTTTGCATGAAATGGACTTCTTGGTCCCTCCTACCTATCCTCCTGATCACTGCTGGAATAACAAAACCTTTATGGGATTTCCATACACAAAAGCTCCTTATGTATCCCTCTCTGCCATGGCACCTTTGAATGTATTTTCACACCACTGGAGTATCTTTCCTTTCTTTACAGATCTTTCCATCTGTTGCTTTGTCTCCTAACATCATTCTCTTTTGTTTTCGATGAGGACAGCTTCTACAAGCAGTGGCAGAACCAAACTTCACTGTTCCTGTTTTAAGCGCTTGTTTCTTGACTGATTGACCATGACTTTCTTGATCTCTTCATCACTATGCTGAAACCCTCTAGGCCTAGCAGGCCAAAATGCAATTTAAAAGAAATGCTCAAGCCAAATACAGTTACATCTGAGTATAAAAGTCAGATAAATTACAAATATTTAATATGTTCTCACCTACACATTTTGCACATGCATCTGCTTTTGCTAGCCAATTTGCAGAAAATTTAGCTATGGAATATTTCTTGTTAGTCAAAATGACCATATTTTGTCCCTTTCTAATAAAATTTAGTTCTACATCTTTTAATACACTAATGATAAAAATTAAACAATGACCTGGATGACTTACCACTTACTAGTTTCCCGTATTGTGGCATACCCATTAGTAGCATCATAGGATATTGAAGGTAGGGAAAGGATAGCTCATAGAAAGGGACAGCTGAGCTGCTGAGAGGCTGTGCATGGTACAGTGAAGGACATAAGAGGTGGAGGCAGTAGAGCTGAGACCAAACTTTTGACTTATATAATTTTACTTGAATTAACAATATCTCTGCTAGATCTACTTCAGGTGATGATGCATCACTGGGGAAGGTACTGCCAGCCTTCTCGTTTATGAAATAAAAATACATCTTTAATATGGTATGGTCAAATGAATGCAGTGGTAAAAGACTTTGAGAAATCTGCTCTGAATGCTTGATACTAATGCTCCACTTTTGCTTTACGCTTTCTGTTTTAACTCCTAATTTCTTTGAAGGATTTTAAACGTGAATGTATTCCTACTTTAACATCAATTTACGGAGACACATAGGAGTCTGACTTTGATGTAATTGAGCTCAGCATAGTGGTCAGCGCTGTCCTGAAGATAATTGCTAACTAAAGCAATGCTGCTTTTTATAAAGTGTAACAGGTGAGTAGAGAGAGGCTGATTAAAATTGTAGGAAAACTGCTAAACTTCAGAAGGGTTGCTTTTCTTTTTTTTTTTTTTTTTTAATTTATGATACACTATTTTAGCATCCAGGGCATACTGGAACAAACTGGCAGTTTTCTGCCACTACATCTCATGGCTGGGTGAAGGCAAGAACTATTCATTTGCTGAAAAAGAGCACAAGTAATATACGGATATATGACCTTTGTTGTCTTGAAAAGACAAGGTATCTTCCCTACACAAGTCACTCTTTTCTAGTCAGCTCCTCCCCATCAGTAACACACAGCCATTTTCTCCTTCAGCCTCCTAAATAGCTTATTTATCTGTTTTGAAACAAGTAACTGGACCTACCGGGCTTTAGAGGACAGGCGGTTTGGACAGCTTGAGCATCAACACGATCTCCATTAGGGGGACTCTTTACACCTTCACTGGAGACCACTGACATTGTTACTCCATCATCCTTTTCCTCCTCTGTAAAACAAAAATTGGAAACATTGAGGAAAGAGGCTCCTCCCACATGCTGTTGGCCCAGATACGCTTGTAGAGGAGCTGCACCATCTCCGTGTGCTTGTGTCTCCACCTAACATGGCGCTGACTCCATTCCCAGAGCAGAGAGACACCAACTTCAGAGAGCTATTATTAACCTTCCACTGACTGGTTTAGTGCTACTAGCACGATAGGAGCTCAAGGTGGCCCAGGTGGACCTGAGCAAAGAGCACACAGGGACTGGTACTGACAAAGAGCTTTCATCAGAAGCATCAAGTGCTTTCAGGATGAGACTCGAGCTGAAGAAGGAGGCTGAACTTTTTTTTTTGCCCATAGAAAAAGTTTTGCTATTTCTTTTTGGCCAGAAGCACACAGTAGAAATATGAAGTGAAAAAAGAAAAAGTAAGGTTTTCTGAAGAAGATCATGCTGGATGTAACACTTGCATATCAGTGAGCAGGTTCTTCTCCACTGGGCTCAGCCAGAGAGGACCAAATGGAATACAAGAGCTACAGAGTTGAGACTTGAGACCAGTTTTACACTGATGCCATTTCAACCTCAGCCTGCATAGACTTAGTATTTCATGAAACTCATCAAATGACAGTATTCTCCACTCACCTGAAGGCACGGGGATGAACCTGTGTTTCCTCTTCATGCAGCAACATATAATTGAAGACACAATAATGACTAGAACAACTGCCCCTCCTGCACATCCTGACAGGATGTAAAGGAACCATGGATTCTGCAGCAGGTCTCCTGCAGGAACGATGCAGCAGTTTTAGTTATCAGAGTGGACAGGTACTTTCTCCAAACTGGAGAAACCCTACAGTTAGTTTAAAGCCTGTGAACATTACTGTAAGTTTGGTCTGAAACAGAGGAGTTGGAAATGGTGAACTATGGCACATAAGACATCATTTTTATAATCATTAGGCCACTTTTCACCTATTTTCTCCCCTCAGATAAGGCCTATTCTTCTGTCTGACTGAGTACGTAGAATAACTACAGTAGCTTGCTCAGGTAGGCTGAACAGTCAGCCACCTGACTGCCTAGACAGAGTATTTCTTCACTTATCTTGTACCTCTCTTAAAAGTAGTGGATAAATTCAGAGCTGAGCCATTCAGATGTCTCTTGGACAGCTCAAGACCTAGTTCTTGAACTGGATGCAACACAGCTGCACTAACACAATTCACCTGTTCTACAAAGCTGAATACATTTGCATAGCATGTTAAAAAACGTCAGCTAAACGCATCAGCTAATTTAGAGCTCAAATGCAGCATAAATTGCTATGTACAAATAGCTCTTTACCCCCAAAATATTTGGAAACATTTCAAAATACTCCAAGACATACCACATAATGTAGTATTCCACACATTTGGAAGAACAGGAAGAACAATTGCAGACAGCCACTTCTACATGTACAAAGATACACTTAAAAAGCACTCTTTCCAGTCTCTGTTAAAATTAAGCTTTTAACAAATGAGAAATCATTTCACTAATTATTSTTTCATTTTTGGTGAAACCCTAGAGAATATTATCAAAGCTGTAAGTACAAGCTGCTAATATTTTCCTGAATATTTCTTCCTAATTTTATTTTGTTGGCCCATTCTGAGATAAAATATATTAAAAATGGATCAGAACAAGCAATAATAAAACATATATAAGGATTTTATTGATTCATGCATTGATTTCTGCGCCACTGATTTTAAATCCTGCATAATCAGAGCCCTTAGGAGCCTGTGTGTTGAACATTTCTGCTCAAGTGTTTTATTCTAACTACTATTCTGAATGAATTTCATCAGCCAGCAGGTTGTTCAACCAGATCATTTTACCTTACATCTAGAGCAGAACAACAGTGGGAAAACAATATCGAGTCATTTGCTAGGAATAAATAATAACAAAAAAAAAAAGAAAAAGAATTTGCCTTTAATTCATTTAACTGAACACATTTATTTCTTTAATTCATTTAATTGGTATCCATAACTCCTTTAATTCACTTTTATAAATATGGTTACATTTGGTCTGAAAAAAACCTCAAAACAGCTGCTACTTTTTGGCTTCCATATCCTTCCACAAATATGTTCATGTGTGTGTTCATCCCTATAGAGCTAACACTAAATTCACTTGTGGGCTTTTGAGGAGGAAACCAGGAACTGATACTACAGCAAGGACACAAGCAGCCACCCAGAGTTACAGAGTAAACAGTGGTAGCTGTCTGCACTTGAATGCTTTATCACTGGGCTTGTTTAGAGCTCTCAGTTGTTTGCATCCTTCCTCCCCAGGATCTTAGCTGACTTTTGGACCTATGTTGAACATCCTTTGACTGCTTTAATTAGACAAAATTAAGACCACAGTTCCACAGTCCCAACTGTCAAACCCATACAGATCATCTGGGAAGATTGATGTGATCAGATCTGAGCAACCCACAGCATTTCTACTGAATGCCAGAACATGTGATATGGGATATGTCAGTGTTTTTCCAAAGTTCAAGACCCAGCACCCAGCCTTGTTGTACCCCATAGATACAATTCTGCTTCTTTGGAGTAAGCCTGCATAAAAAGACCTCCTGAATACACACTCACCTTGCTGTGATCATCAGCTGTGTCAGTATGAGATAGAGCAGGAAGAAAGAGAGGAAGGGACACTTTTTCAAGGGAGAAGATGGCAATTTTAAAAGGCAGCTGTCAGAGGAGAGTTCATTCCATATAGACACGACAATTTCTTTGATTTCCCTTACAAGAAACTGAGAGAAGATATCGTGTGGCTGCTGTTACTCACCATAGTAGTCACAAGACAGTGCAATGGGTCTGCTTCTAATGATGCTATTCCCACGGTGAATCACACAGACGAAGTCCCCAGGCACAGTTTTGTCCAAGCGAACCTTCTTCCCACCATCCTTAACACAAGCCTCAGGGGCATCCAGCGCAACACCATTCAGCAGCCACATAAACCCAGTGCTCTCATTGCCAGTTACATCACAGGTCAACTCTCCAGTCCCATTAGGGAAGCATCGGATACTAATGGCTGGTTCTGGTCACACAACACAGCGACAATGGAATGGGGAGAGAAGAGAGATACATGGAGTTGACTCAGCAACAAATGCAAGCTAGGCAGTAGCTTCCCTCACCACGAGTCCATCATATTTGCTACTAGTCAGGAAGCACAGAATTAAGTTACCAGACTGAGAAGATCTCTTCAGTATCTGCCCCCAGCTCTGTAATAAATGGCAGTGTTCACCCAACCCTGTTAATGACTTTTGGTTCTTGTTTTCTTCAAGTAACCTGACACAAGATATATCAGCTCAATCAGCCGACTTTGATAACCCTTGTTCTGAGAGATAGCATTTACTTCAGTGTTAAATGTATTTGTTTTCCACAAAGAAGAAAGAAGAAAGAAGAAAGAAGAAAGAAGAAAGAAGAAAGAAGAAAGAAGAAAGAAGAAAGAAGAAAGAAGAAAGAAGAAAGAAGAAAGAAGAAAGAAGAAAGAAGAAAGAAGAAAGAAGAAAGAAGTGATGTGCTTTTTCAGTGTTGAAAAATGAGGAGTTCAAAACATCAGCCCATGAATCAAGGACTGCGGGGACACATTATGTATCTGGTGGCCATGGACTTGTTCAGTAATTGTCAAAGTAGCTTCAGAGGAGATTCAGCCCTCCTCTTGCTGGGACACGTACTTTTGCTCTTACTGTCTCTTCTTCCCTTGAGATGGAAATTAGTGCAATCTATGCCCAACATTGGTACCAGCACAAGACAGAATGATCCACACTGGGACAATTTTAGAATCAATTTAGAATGAATGAATCCCATTTTCCTGAATTTCGCTTACATGCTTGTAATACATTTAGTGTACTACATGATGACAACCTACTTCCCACTCTTGCTGCTCTGCTAATGTAGACTAGGCAGTAGAGTCATATGATTTTATGACAGTATTTTTAAAAAGGGCAATGAAGGTGCAAGCAAATATCCATGTAAATTAAGAAATTAGTATCCTCAACTGTGATATCATCTTCAACTAAAATTCACTACTTCTAGAAAATACCTTTGCTGGGAAATTGTTTCACTAACTTATGCATGACAACAGGACAGAAGGAGATAAAAGCTCACAAATGATGCAGATTCACAGAAACAGAAGTTTAAACTAGACTATTTCTTCAGTCTTTGCCCATTTCCCAGGGCACCTACAACCCTGGTCTTTTTGCCAAGGAGTCACATCCTTGACCTGCTCTCTGGAAGTTTCACTTGTTCGCACTAGGATGACATAAGGATTCATTTGTCTGCACTGAGCTCAGGCTGCTCTAACATTTTCATTAAACTCGTATGCTTCATTTTCTCTTAGAAATCTATGTAAATTAAAGCTCTGTAAAAGGAACAGCATAGAAAAGCAGGAGGACAATACCCTTACTGATTCTGTGGTCTTTTTATTCCAGTCCAGTGACCAGGATGCAGCAATCCTGAGGCCACAGTAAAGACGAAAGGAAAACCGGCCACATAGCTCTTGCTAATCTCTGAATAAACCCAGGAGATGCTGACATTTAAGCTGCAAGTAGGCAGTTGAGAGTCAAAAAATCACACTTTAATTCCATTTCTTAAGTGCATGAGGCATGGAACTCCGTTTCTCGGAAATAAGTCACGTAGGGTTAATTTATTGGAAAAGCATCTCTACAAGCAGCAAAATGGTGCCAAGTACAATGACAGCATTTCAGAGCCACCAGGAATCATACTCTGGAAACGGACTGAAATTTCTAGCTCCATGTCTATACAGACTAAATTTTACAAATGTTTAAGTCAAAGAAAGTACATACTTGAAGTGACTAACTACTTTAAATAAGGCTCATCACAGAGAGAGACTAATAAATTGGATTAAAAAATGCATGTTTTAATTTACACAATTACTGTTCCTTGCAGTGCTAGTGCAAAGTTATTCCTGCTGTTCCAGTCACCTATATCTTCTCTGTGCAAGCTCAAAAGGTCTGTTAAAAGCAGAGCAAGGCAGCAGCTCACAGCCAAACTCACAGTTTCAATAGCATTTTGTCTCTAACAAGACACTTACCAGACACTTCGAGTATAAAAGATCTGCTTGTGTTGTGAAAAACAAACTCATATTTTCCTTCATCCTCTTTCTCCACATTCCTCAGTACCACAGAACCATTCTGCAAGTTCAGACATCTAGCAGAAGAAGTGCCGCACCTGGCCAACAAGGTATCGTTCAACACAGACATGGAGCATTTTGCACTGCCTTTGCTCATTTCAGAGATGCTCTGCAGGCTTTGAATTCCCAGAGAAAAGACTGCTGAGCTGCTGCTCAGTGCAACAACTCTAGAAGCTGAGGCTGAAAAGAAAAGCACAGAGCATTGACAGTGAGCTCACCAGCTCCATCCACCCCTCTCCCAGCTGTCTTCCATAAAGGCCACTCCACCCCAGTGACAGACTAGGGGCACCAATAACTGAAAAGCAGAATAATGAGAGGGGTGATATTATACAAACTTTCTCTTACCCTTAATATGACAGTGGCATACACACCATACACACAAGGAAACAAGAAGTCTGAACAGTGATTCCCGCCCTGCACTGCAGGGTTCACTGCAAGGTGAACACTGCAAGGTTCACATAAAGCTCATTAACACCCTGTATTTCGTACAAATGGTAACAAAAACAACGGCTGCTTGTGCAGCTCTAACTCACAGACATGAAGTACTGTTGCAGTTTTAGTGTAGACAAGTCTCACAATATCCCTGTATACCAACATTTGTTGCGTTGAAACTCCAAGCAAGTAAATGGCAGGGCAACTGCAGCTCGGGGACTGACCCAAGGTCATACTGAGTGTTATGAACTCAGACCAGCATCCTGCATACACGGATCTTAAGTTTTCTAATGAAACAGTATTATGGATAGAGCATGCCGAGGAAGTACTATGCTGTTAGTTATCATTAGTTTACAGAAAAAATCCATCTTACTTTGGTCTGACTGCCACGTTTCATGCATTAGCAGTTATACTATTTAATGCCTGCTAAAACCTGGTAGAATCCTTTAAAGAGCTCAAGAAAAAATTAAGATGACCGCTTACCTACAGAAATCATAAAAGAAAAAAAAAAACCACTTACCATTAGTAACAGCTACTATCACGAGCAGGCACTGAAGGATAAAAGAAGAGTTGAAATCCATTTTTAAAGAGCTCCTTGCATCATATGCTGAGAAGACAAGCTGGCTACAGAGCTCAGTGAAAATAGTGTTCAGGAAGTGATGTCAGAAGCAAGAATAGAAAAAAAAAAAAACATACAGGGCAGATTGAATAATGTTTTAAAATAGTCCTGCAGGTTTTGGGTGACTGAACTCAGACCCAAAAAGCATGAGCCATGATGTGCTTTGCAAAGTCTTGTACCTTAGCTAGCTGCAAGTGGAACTGAAACGTGAAGAGGAGAAAAAGCTCTCCTGGTCAACTTACCCATTTAGATACATGCTAATACTGGGTACAGGCAAAAGACTGACACCTATTTGTTCCATATTCTTCCACTATATAGTACAGAGTCCCCATACAGGACATAAAAAACATAAAACGTTTCATAGAGATGAGCTCATTTTCTGGAACACCAAAAATAAACCACTGATAGTATGACCACTCTCCCCACTTGGTAGATGAAGGCTGTATTGTATGTCTGAACTTCCCTAGGCTCTCCAAGAGATGAAGTAATACCCTCCATGGAGGAAATGGCTATAGGCAACCCAAAGCAGAGAATAAAGGTTACACAAACTTGCCTGGGATTGCTGAGCTGCACTCTAAAAAAACTGAAGGCCACATTGCTACTAGTCAGGGTGCAACTCAACAAAGAGCCTCAAAAGCCCATCTGAGGTATCACTGTGAAACAGCCATCTAAAGACTGCAGCAGTATAACTGGCCCTGATACTTTGTTGACACTCGTTTTAGATAACTTAATCTGCTGTGCTGCTAATATACAGTCTCCTCACTTGCAGAGAAAATACCAGTAGGCTTTATTTCTTTCTTCCAATCAGCGGAGTTGAAGTTTATCATTGCACTAAAGCCTTACATCTATAAGACATGCTTGACAGATGTGTTTGGAAATGACAAGTTTGGACGCAGCCAAGAATATTATACCTTTGTGTTATCTGGATATGCACATACAGACCATTAAAGTAGTTCCTCAGTGTGGAATGATGTACATACACATTTCTAGAAACTGTTACCTGCCTTGTGTTGTGGTTTACTTTTTTTTCCCCCCCACAAATGCATTAATTCCACATTTCAACCATTAGTTTCAGTCACTGCAACTTCACAACAATGACAATTAAATCTCATCTCCTGTTCCCAGTGTCTAAAATCTATGAACTTGTTCAAGGCGACAGCAGCACCATCTTGACTTTATCATACATGCACAAGACAAGCCTAAATTGATGTAAGATGTGACAGAAATAGCCTTCTTTGAAACAAGCAGTGAAGCGAGTCTTTAGGTACTCACAGTAGCACAGAGCAATGGTGAGACAAAAAATTATTTACAGTAAGAAATATTTTCATTTCCTTCTGTTACTCAAGTTACTTGGAGCAAATCTCTCTCTGATACCCTTGCAAGACTGGGGCTTAGGGTGTGCACTTCTACCTTCATTTCACCTTCATGTTCAAAGGCAAGATGCAGCACTGTGGTAAAGAGACAATGATAGCATGAGGTTATGTCACTTCAAAAATAGAAGCATTAAGAAACATGTTTAAAAGAAAAAAAAAAAGAAACTTCATCAAAAAGGCCTGTATGCAAGGAAATCCAGCAAAAGTTCACCTTCTTGCTCAATTCCACAACCTTGTTTGCAGATTTGCTTGCTATTAAATAAATATGGCCTTTCTCCTGTAGCTCCACGGTTAAAGTGATTCTGCATGACTCTGACATTGCAGTGTCCTGTATTTAGTCTCCCTCTCAGTGACTCCAGAGCAAATGAGTACATTTATGAGCTCAGTTCTTCTGACTGCTTAGTGCCCCATACATCATCCAATATATTAAGGCCCATTAGGCTCCTTCTGTCCCTCACATCTTCACTAGTTGAAAAAGGGCAACCACAGCCAGATAGCATATACACAAGCAGTGTTATAAACAAAGCAGTCTTTTCATAACAGCAATCCTTTCAGATCTTTTTCATAAAGAAATTTTATTATATGAGATTAGAAACTAATATGTAACTTAACTAATGAATGTTCTCAGTTCCCTTGACTAGTCAGACAAATCACTTCTCCTTTTTTATATAAAGATGCATAAGGTTGTGTGTGATCACTGCCAGAAAAAGTTGTCTGAAGCTTAAGAGAAACCAGAAAAAAAAAAATACAAAGGAAGGAAAAAAGTAAAGAACAGAACATGAAGCTGGAAGGTGAACTGAAACCCTTTTTTACCTGCTGAACTGTAAACTCTCAGGGCCATTTTGTCCTTCCAGACACCGATGGCATCAATAACCACTTAGAGAGAGGAAATTCATTCCCTACATGACATGAGACATTAGTGAGCACAGGAAATGGAGAAACTTGAGAAAGTAAAGTAGAAAATAAACTGTAGTATCACAAAGAGAATTTTACATACTAAGTCTGCACATAGTCTTTAAATAGGCTGGTAACTTTAAGCAGTGCATCATTTTTTACTATATTAATGCATATCAGCATTAATTAACAAAATATACATGCCTAGCTTTATGCAGACAGAGATGGTARAACTACATGCCAGAAAGTGAACACATCATAGAATCATAGAATCATAGAATGCTTAAGGTTGGAAGGGACCTCAGAGGTCATCTAGTCCAACCCCCTTGCACACGCAGGGTCACCTAGAGCACGTGGCACAGGGCTGCGTCCAAGCGGGTTTTAAAGATCTCCGAAGGAGGGGACTCCACAACCTCTCTGGGGAGCCTGTTCCAGGGCTCTGTCACCCTCACTGTCAAAAACTGTTTCCTTAAGTTCCTGTGGAAATTTTGGTGCTTCAGTTTGTGGCCGTTTCCTCTAGTCCTGCCACTGTCCACCACTGAAAAGAGGCCGGCCCCCTCCTCCTCACTCCCTACATCAACCTGAGAAATAACACTGTGGCTGCAGCAAGGCAGAAAACAAGCTCTCTACTGCATCCCAGTAACAGCCCTGGGCCAGAAAATACTGTTTTGCTTTTTCATGTTGAAGTCCCCTGAGATAGGACTATATGACCTTGACCAGATAACAGTATGCCAGGGTATGTACAACTTGGATTGTGCAGCATTGGGGAGACTGACAGCTATATTAACTGTCTAGTCCACTCTTAAAACTATTTGTGCATATTTTTTTTTCTTCCAAGAATATATTGTGGCCCTGGTCAAAATCAGCTCAAAACTCATAAGGCAGGAAGAGTAGGCAAAGCAGAGAAGCTTCTGTGTATGGGTGTCAGGATCCCAGAGCCTACAAGCTGAAGATACAGGGGCAAATAAATAATAACATGAATTATTTCTTTGTTAATTTGAATTATCCACAGAGATATGCTTGTACTCTGAAATCTTGCTTGAACAAAACCAGTGAGAAAGCTCTCAGAGATAAATACAAATTTTTAAACTTACATGCTTACAGACGGTCATGCATTTCATCTCTTTAACAGTGAAGTTAGGAAGACCATAGCTACTCAGTTTCATGTTTTGGAAGTGGAAATGCATAATCAAAATACTCTATTAGATTATGTTCAGAGGAAGTGACTTTTGGACAAAATATGATATACTAGCTTAGCAGGAATAACCAGAACCTCTGGTATGGATTCTATAACCCTACACAACTATAAAGTGGAAAGGACCATATATGGGTACCTATACTCCCAGCTACACACAACCAGAAGCCGGACATATGCAGGATTTCCCCAACAGCCCCAAGACCATGCTAGCCACAGGCCACGTATTCTGCATGAGACCTGATCCACATGCTTGCCATGGCACTGTTATACAGAACAGCAGCTGTGCTGTTTTAATACCCAAGACTCAGAATGATATGGCAGTTCTAGCCAGCTGGTTTAGCGGGTCCTGGAGGGGCAGAGGAACTGAGAGGCTACAGAGCTGCTAGAAGCAGGCATAACTTTACATACTGCAGCCTGTTCTGAAAGATGATCCATACCCTAACTGTGCATTCTTCTTTCTTACATGGACGCACACCTTTGTCTGATAGAATCCTTGAAAGATTAGGTTCTCCTCCCAATCACATGAACCAGATCAAAGACAACTCATATGGCAGGCCAGAAACAGGGAGGAAAGTCACTAACCTATGTCCTGAAATCATCCATTCATCACAGTTTCCATAAAAAGTGACACAAGTAATTTCTCCTTACTGCATGTCAGTTGGATTCTGAATAACTCAAATTAGAAAAACATGATGAAACTGGACTTTAGTTCACATTCCTTACACTTCAGCATCAGATAAAGCCTGTGGGTAGACACCCTCCCCGCTTAATCCGTTTAGCTTCTGAGGAGCTGGTTCTCTGCACTCAGCAACACCCAGCTCCAAATGGCACCTGATGAGCTGATGAGCTCTGTGATAGGAGATTTACTCAGAGTTCACTAGATAAGGGAAAAGAGTAACAATGAAATATTGTCATACTGTTTCTCCAGTTTCCACCACACAAGACTATATGAAAGACTTTTCCAAGTTAGCCTAAAAGTTCATCTGTCATTCTGCATTCTTCAAATACAACTGATACCAACACTTTGACTAGAGATACTGCATCTGTGACTGCTGGGCCTTTTAAATTAAACCATGAATTTCAGAGAGCATACTTCACCAAAACTTGTGTTACGATTACAAACAGCTACAAGATAGGCTCTGTGCCTAATCATATATATATGATAGACCTGTTTTCTCCAGCCTTTAAGTATTTCCAAGGCAGGAATGATCCGGTGATTTTGAGAGTTAGGTGCTAAGATTTCAGGAACTCCCACCATTATTCTATGGGCATTATTAAGCCTTTAATGACAGATGGAAGACCCAAGAAAATGCTCTGTTCTCTTCCAAGATTTTGCAGATAATTTCAACTTTTAACAAAGGATGAAAAAGAACACTTAGATACTCCAAACATAGATGAGACTTCTGTAGTGTTAAGGACTTGGCAGCAGGGCTGGCAAAAAGGAAAGAAACCTGTCCAAAAAAAACTTGTTACAGGGTTATACAGACCTATGCTTTGTTTCACGCTGTTAAATGCAAAGAACTTGACTGGAAGAACCATATGAAGGACA